CTCTTGTTGAACAATTCGATGTGTCAAAAGGAATTGAATGGCCCAAGAACCATGACGAACCAAACGGCCTCCGTCAAACAGAATGTCCTATGCGTCCCAACGAACAATCAAATTACGCATTGCCAAACGAGAATACACCAAAGATTAGGAATATTGAAAAAATTCAGTTTGGTCAACATTTAATTGATACCTGGTATTTCTCCCCATATCCAAATGAATATAGCCAATGCCGTATCATTTATATCTGCGAATTTTGCTTGTGCCACTTTTCGTGCGAAAAGCAACTTAGGAGACATGCAAAAAAGTGTACTATTCGACATCCACCTGGAAACGAGATTTACCGAGATGATAATGTTTCGTTTTTCGAGATCGATGGAAGAAGACAATTGAAATACTGTCGAAATTTGGCATTACTTTCCAAACTTTTTCTCGATCACAAAGATTTAAAGTATGACATCGATGTCTTTTTTTTTTTACGTGATGTGTAAATTTGATGATTATGGAGCCCACATAATCGGATATTTCTCAAAGGAGAAGAATTGCGAGACCAACTATAACCTTTCGTGCATACTCACGCTGCCACAGCATCAACGTAAAGGATATGGAAGATTGCTGATTTCATTTTCATACGAGCTCTCTAAAATAGAGGGTCAAATTGGTACTCCAGAAAGACCATTATCTGATTTAGGACTGACATCATATTACTCTTACTGGCAAGAAGCTATTTTGGATATTTGCATGGAAGCCGCGCAGAATAAAAGGGAGTTGAGCATTGAAGAAATTTCGGTGAGAACGAGTATCGATACTGATGATGTGATCTCGACCCTCCATTTTCTAAACGCATTTAGAGAATATAAGAGACACATAGCGATTGTATTGGATCACCGATTGATAGCATTATACAAAGAGATCAAGGCACGGAAAAAACTCACCATTGCCGAAAATAGATTTGATCCGAGATACAAAAAGAACGTGTTAATTGTTGGATTCGCTGAGGAAAACTAGCAGCAGCATTCATGTCAAAAAGGTTATCGAGTTGGGGCTTGTTTTCCTCCAAGTAATTTAATCGTTGTTATCGTTAGGCGTCAGTAATGTAAAACGATGATTGATTAAGTTAAACCAAAATAATG